TTCTTGGCCAGTTAGACCCGGGCGTGATTCGTTTCGAACGTCCTTGAGTATTGACCTACGCTAGACTCTCGCTTTATATGCTAGACTCTCGCTTTATATCTCTCATAACTAATTTGACTTTCCAATGCCATGAGTGTTCTCAACTAACCTCGGCTAGAATTCCAGTCACAACGTGTTGTGAGGCTTGTATAGTAAGTGCCTAGCGAAGAGCTTTCTACATACAAACCTGTTCAACTACAAATGTGGTTTGGAGCACTTCGTGCAATACCTCGTGGACGTTCAAGTCACATGCGGACGAATCGTTTAGCTTCTTTTCAATAACGACCTAGGAGACAGAAATGAGTAGTTTTGGTGTTGACTCTCCCGCCCAACTTATATCTCATAACAGAATCTAGCAATAGGCCATGGTGATAGAGAAGACCTGACGAATGAGCCATCCGAAGCCTTAGAAGCATTCATCATCGTAGTAACAAGACGCAGTGTCACGATCACCACCTAGTACAAAGAGCACGTATGTATATAGCTGGGACTAGCCCACAGAGTAGTCAGAGCCTCCGCGCAACAACAAGTATTCATATGCCCCCATACCTGAGATCCTGACACGCAGGCTTTGGTCCAGCTGTATTCGTTATTCTAGTAACTAAAAACCACCCCCTTTCCGATTACCATATTGTCCTATGGTGCCTGAAACTCGCTAGACCATGCGGGTACATCGACATAACCGTTAGAGCTCTGCGAGAAGCCATCGTAACGTCCCGTCTCACATGATTCAATTCACCTTTCCGCTACTATCGGCACTCGAAGCTGGGAGCGTCGTGCTTGCTTTGCTCTAAGAGCTTCTCCTAGAATGTAAGGTTAACAGACGTAACTTAGCGGTTTTGAAGTCGCGAGGAATGCTCTTACTATGGTGATATTGATGTCTTTTTTAGGCTAATATAATCTAAGTCTACTAAGCGTATGCCAAGTCAAAAGATAGGATGAAGACTGTACCTACTATCGAAAGTTGTCATCGCCGGAAATTTCCGTTAGATAAGCGAAGGTGCGATACAGCAAATACAGAGCAGCAGGGAATGCTATCTTCTTTACGTCGCCCACCGCTGAAATCTTCACGGGCTCCATAACGAGTCACAAAGCTCACGAATAAGACCAAATACTGTAATGTTGTGCAGCATTTTCGCTGCAAATATTGGTGTTTCCAACCAGCGTAATGAAATTCGGGTAAGGGTTTCGGCCAAATACTTACTACCTTATGTGAGTAGGTAGGATGATAAAACCTCTTTATATACATAAGGATATACCTTGTGCATTGTACTTTGCATAATGTGTCATATATAACTCATCTGATAGATAGGATGGGTCTGCTGTAAGGGTATGGAAATATTGGCAAGTAAACTCTCTTGGAAATCCCTCGTCGGATCCCTGGACCGGGGGGGGGGGGGACTTGCAGCCCTGAGGTTCAGTCTTTGCTTTGCATACTCGTTCGACTGCTCATGTTCCCACACTCTTTCTGGTGGCAGGTATAGAAAAGTAGTGCAAGATAGAACAGGCAAATAATAGACTGCTATGAACTCTGTATGCAGTAGGCATATTAGACTCTTGTTGCTGCGCGAGGGGCTCCAAAACACCTTCGTGGAATTACTCTAGCTATATACATGAACCTCTTTGTGACAAAGACTAATACCATTTCAGAGTTCCCATTCCGCTAGTCAACAATATCTGATTGTCAATTTAATTATGAGTTACTGAAGTGATGTGAGTGTCGTTGTCGTATTATATATGAGCACTGCAATGGGAATGTGGATCTCTAATTGGATAGAATAGTCTACCCATAACTCTTGGTGCCGTACCCTATATGATTTAAGGTCCAGCTATTTTGCTATTGTCCATGCACTAGCATTTCGACGTATACATACAGGCCCGTTCTAGAGTAATGGGTTTCAGCTGCAATATAAATATAGATGTTGTGGCAGCTCCCAATTCACCCATCCGATTGACAAACACTACAACACGGGGCCTTGTGTCACTAGGAATAGCTTATTCAATGCCACTATTCTCATTGTATGCCTTCTAGGACGGAAAAACGATGATTTTTTTGCATTATGTAAACTCGAGCCATGTCCATAGTCGAGTGGGAGGGTGTTGATCAAACAATTCAACAATTGTTTTTGTGACATAAAGACTATGTACTGGATTGCTCAGATTCAGCAACTACCTATTGAGACCACCAGACCAGCACGCCAAATGACTAGAGGGGAAAGCCAAGGAATCAACTTCGTCTTCCATGGATACTGTCTTAGGACAATATATACACCAACCGTAAGCTCCTGATAAATACGGAAACAATGTATTGACAAACATTATGGTGACGATGAGCTTATCTATAAAGTTAACTGAGCCAGCCAGTCACAAGCAATGTAATGCAGAAGCAGAACCTCTAATTACCTAGAAACACAAGTAGCTTCCTTGCATTCCTTGAACATCACGCATATAAAAGCGTCAATCATAAGTGTCGCTCAAGGCGTAGATGCGTTGTATAAGTAGTTTATACCAACTCATTTTAGGGCAGTACCCTGCCTCCCTAGATTAGTTTATAACCACTCCAGTAAGACACCAAGTGTTTGTCTACGTGGCCAAGCTATGTACTATGTAGATAGTGCACTAACCATTTTGGCAATAACAATTACTTAGCTTGGATCCAAAGCAGTGCCTTAACAGCGGCGTAGTGGGGGAGATGTTGGAGTTATGATTATCAGGGCACCGATGCACCTGTCCTTTCATAACACAGTATTGGCATGTAAGAAACGGTGCTATGCCCTTCATATCACAGCATTCTCAGGTCCCGTGATGGTAGGATTCGGCAACGGGTAATTGATTTGAAGTAGACACTCACACCGGCAATTCAGCCACCGGCAGACAACGCCTTTGTAATTTTTAAATCACTTCGTAAACGACATCACAAGTATGACCCGGATGACGGTGGGTCGTCTCGGTGACAAAAGAAAGCACCACTAAACATTGCTAGGCGTGTCCCGTTTTTAAGGAAACTCATCGATAGCCATAGCTACAATGGTCGAGCCCTCCTCGGACCCGGCGTGTGTGGTGATAGAAGTCATGCCTGACAACAACCAGATCCCATAACCCATGTGCCCCAATCCTCTCTACTTGAGGGGGATGAAACGAGAAGAGTGTGTCGCACCGATACCGGGACGACCGTGCTTGACGGGAGTGCTGTCCACCAGTTAGCATTCTGCTCTCGTACTAACAATCCAGTCCAGTCCAAGTAGGGCAACTTACTATGAGATAGAGAACTCGCCGAAGTAGCTATTACGACGTGGTGATCAGCATTGAGGCAAGCATAAACCTGGTGCGTCGACGACTTACTGTCCAACCATCTCGGGGCGAATTTCGACGCTGTTGAAGACCTTGCCGTTATAGATGGCAACGACGGAACCGATGAGTTCGGGAACGACTATACCCAGTCAGTCCTGACGATACCTGCTTTCAGAGCCGCGCGGGTCTATCTTACTGATCATATTACGCAGGTGAGTTCGGCACTCGGCGGGCTGCAACATGCTAGTTAGCACGGTCGTTCGGTCGGCACATGGAAGCCAAGCCCACTTGCCTTCTCATTAGGGGCGGCGTTCTGCTTGGCGGCACGGAGCTTGCGGACGAGGCCCATGGGCTTGCGGCGGAGACCGCGCGAGAGACGTCTGCGGGCACGGGCGTGGAAGAGGGTGCGGAGGTCATCGGATCCAAGCTCGAGCAGGTTGTCGAGCTCAACGCCGCGGTAAGAGAACTCTGGAACGGGCAGCAGGGTCAGTCACGTCTCTCGTCTCTCGTCTCCCAGCTCCCGTCTCTTGTCTTTCATCTCGAGCAAAGGCGGATCGAATTTTATGATTGCATCGTTCGACGGCCAGGTCCGAGAGGGATAGGGCATGGGCATGGGCCTGGGACAGGACGTACTGCGGAAGGCTCTGCGCTTCTTCAGCTCGGCGGCGGCGACGGCATCCTGTATCCGAGGCGTGTCAGCGGCGTGCGATTCAATCCCAGCGTCATTGTTGCCATCTCAACACAGCACAGAACAGACGAGGGGGTAGATAGACGTACGTATTCGTCAGCCATCTTGTCGGTGATGATAGGGTGTATTGTCGGCTGAGCAGGAGGAAGAGGAAGAGGAGGAGGGGGTGGTGGTAGTTGGCGTAGTGTCGATGTTGTCGCTGGCGAAGAGTGGTAAATGTGATTTGGACTCAGATGGTGTTCTGCGGGTGCTTTCTGGTTTGCGCCAGGGTGGGTTGTGGGTTGTGGGTTTGTCGGTGTGGCGCTGCTGGAATATTTGAAAATTGTGTTTGTGTGGTAGTGCACCAACCTAACCTTAGTAAGTTAGTCTTATCTTATCTCCCAGTTTCCCAGTACCTACGAGGACATGCAGCCGACCCCGCCAAGTTAGGTATTCGGTACCTTCTGCGCAGTGTAGCCTGGCATCCCAGCCACACTTGGGGTCTCAGGGTGCTTGAATCAGCTCGTCACAGACCTGACGGCCCGGACCAGCCGACGGTCATCTATCTATGAAGTACGTACCTAATGTAGGTAGGTTAGGTACTTTGTACTTATTGGTCAATAGGTAGATAGCTACCACACTCCCCCATGCGCCAAATATACCTAGGTACTGGTAGACCAGACCTAACCTTCGGTGATGATGATATACAGTACATCATTGGATATCTGCACCTGTTGGGTAAATCCTATATCAATATGCCTTGAGCTTGCAGATAAGGTAAGGACGCAACTACCTAGGTAGGTACATACACGTACACGTACCACTAAAGTGTACAATACCATATGCACATAAATGCCTACGTGTAAGTAAGTGATGTACAACATAGCCTGCATGTATCACGTACAACTACGCATACTGTAGGGTTCGTTCATCCGTGTGCGGGTAAACCCCGGGGTACATACTCTCTGGGTATAGGTCGAATGATTTGGCGAATCCGTCAACGGCACTGATAGCTCAGCGGTAGAGCAATCGGCTGCAGCTTTCAAAGCATCCGATAGTAAGTTGTTGTATTTACTTCCGTTTGTCCCTGCAAATTATGGCTAACCGTTCCAGGGTCCTCGGTTCAAATCCGGGTCAGTGCTATCTGCCTAATGTATATATTTTTAATTTTAAGCCTCCCATGCATTGGTCCGGCCTCCATCATCTCCCGGTACCATAACCACCGATGAAGACGACAATAACGATGCTCAATGTGATGACGAGGTTAGGGATGAGTTACTGCATCCCAACGCGCGCATACACGTCTCCGTGCGCCCTTCGAGCTGTCACGTTGTTCGCTTTATATGGCTTTATCGAAGGTGCCTCGACCATCTCTTTCTGAAAGCCATCAGCCTTGGCCTCAACTCGCTTAGCAACTAATTGAAGCGTACCTAGTGTTGTACATCTTCCATTTTAATTTGAGGTATCCTTCCTTGATGCAGACAAGGGCTTATACATACGTATAAAAAACATGTTGAGAGTGACGAGGTTGCCTCGTTTAGTTAGCACTCACATATTATTCTACCGTCAATAGCCCTCAACTTTCCAAATACTGCTGCCATAACTACAGTCTAGGTTTAGATAAGCAGATAGAGTCAAGCTTACAAAGCGATATTCAAACCTCCAATCTTCCGTTTCAACCTAACCTTCATTCTATTCATCACTTTACCACTCTTAGCATGTCATATTGTACATTTTTAATACTTACCACAAAAAGAAACTGTTTTTATCTCCTTCTCATCCTTTATAAAAAAAAATACTTGATTAATTTCTAAGGAAGCCGGGCCCTCAAAACCCCTGTCAGCGCCAACTCGCTCCTATGTTATTAAGTTAGCATATTATTATATTTAAGTAAGAAGAATCATCTCAATTCGTATCAGCTACATGATCAACCGCTTAAGAGAAGCTGGGAACCGCCAAGCACCGCTCAGTGATTCTCCACACCGTCCATCCGATTAGATCGTCTCTTGGCCTCGATAGACTGTCTCCGCTTGGCGTCGTCTTGCTTCTTCTGCTTCTTCTGGCCCTTCTCTGCTTTCTTCTGGTCCTTTTTGGTCTGCTCCTCCGGTGTTATAGTCTTTGGCTCCGTGGGGAAGCAGTTTATTATTTTTCGTAGAGAAGGCATTGCTACGTCGGTGCTCCGGTGTGTTGTCTTTGTGATTGGTTTCCTTCGTTGTCGTGATAATAGTTGTAGACTGTTGTGGGAGGACTTTTTCCCTTGATAACAAAGGAAAAGGGAGCAGTCAAAGGACGTCATTATCAGCGGTATTTATACGTCTTGGCGTATAGGCGAGAGAGACAACAATGGTAATGCTCGTAACACAATGTCGGTTTAGTGTAGTAGAGATTAGCGCGTTGTTGTTTAACACATACTCTGCGAGTAGGGAGTGTCGAAAGTGATAAACGGAGTACTCGACAACTCTAGTTGAGCTGTCCAGGATGTTTCGGGACATGCGAGTTGTTTCGAAACAATTAACAACTTACGAGGGAACACAATGAGTTGTGTATTATAAGATCATGTGAGAAGAAGTTAAGTGCTGTCAATAGTGTGATTAGGCGTATGGCAGCCTACAAACTCCTCGAAATGGAGAGAGAGACTTCACTTTGCACATATGGGAATAATCATAGAAGGCAAGGCTGTAACCCCGTGATAACAAAGCTTCCAAGAAACCACTATCATCTACGGGCACAACAACAACAACAATAATAATAATAATAAAAATTCTACACATATCACTCAACTCACTTATTCCACCCCAGGCAAGGGAACAAAAACGACAAACAACCCCAAGCCCAACCACCTCTATCTGTCCCACCCAGACCGCGAGAAAGACCTGGCGAGTACCACTCTACTTTCCCAACAGCGGGTTCATGGAGTGAAGCTAGCCTATAGTCACCTTCACTTACTATCTCATCAGGGAATACTAAACGCGGAGCCCCATCCTCGGGCCAAAACTCCAAGATAGGCTTGCTCGCCTCCCCCCAAAGTTGGCCAGCGCTCGTCTCACTCGGACACGCGTCCACGTCCCAAAAGTCGTCGTTCCCACGATCAGGAAGCGGGACAAATACATCCTCGACAAAAAGCCTCGAGCAAACCTGACCATCATCACCTTCATATCCCCCCTCCTTCTCCCTAGCAACAACCCCACGACAGCGAATAACAACAACCTTGCTCACCCAGCAGCAAGAATGCAGTGAACACTTCTTCCCTGCACACCTCCCCCCTGCCGTTCTGGCGTTAGCCTTGGGACATTGAAACAAACAATCATGTCTCTCCCGCTCTCTGGCATCGACGCTTAGTAGTTCGTAGTGGAAAGCCGCGTGAACATTCTGGTGGTAGCACATTCCTTCTTTGCTGATTGATCAAACCAATTCTCGTGTCTGTTCTCGATCTTAAATGCTTAATTCCAAGCGAGTAAGTATAAACGCAGTAAATGCAGCCTAAATACCAAGCACCACAACGAGAGGCTGACAGCGACAAAACCAAGGCAAAAGAACTTGTTAGCAGAAGCTTCTAATATAATTACCGTCGTGGAAAACTATGGATGCAAAACCCTAGGTGAAGACGGCTGACAGCGCAGCGAAACGCAAAGAACGAGTATTCTAAACAAAATCGACAGACAAAGAGGTTGTATGCTGATCTCCTAGCCCAAGCCACCCACCCACTCCTGTACATGAAGTTATGTATGACACGCAGAACTGGCGAAGTGAACCCAAGGATGGTTAATATTAATCAAAGAGACTCGAAATCATCGTATAGTCTAAGAGGAGATAAGACATTCACAACCATATTCCAAGGTCACTAGTAGATATAATATAGTATGATATTGTATGGCCGTAGACCCCACCCGGCCACTAATTACCTGGGTTGGCGGATAACTGATCCAATTTGATCGAACAGTTGACGCGAAGTCGAATGAGAGAATCATAACTCCATCTATCCTCCCCATTTCCGAGATGCCATCGATTCTAGTTGCATACATCTTCCCCTTTTCTGCAATGCCATTCCATCTAATCATCATCGGCATATCTTGGACCGGCAGCGGGTGTGTCGGCATTGTACGCCCCTGGCGTCGGTGCTCCGTAGTACCCGCCACTGGCTGCGGGTGTCGGAGCAGCAGCAGCAGGCGTCGGCGCAGATTCGGCGCCCCAGCCACCTTGCCAGCCTCCTCCAGGTGTCGGTGCATTTAAGGCGCCACCGGGCGTGGGAGCATTGTACGCGCCAGGCGTGGGGGCGTTGAGAGCACCAGGTGTAGGAGCCCCCAGCAAGCCAGCACCGGGGGTGGGCGCATCGTATGCATTGGATGATCCGCTTGCACCCGGCGTGTAACCCCATGAATCGCCTCCACTGGCGCCAGGTGTGGCTGCCGAGGCACCATATGGTGTTTTAGAGCCCCATGAATCGCCACCGCTGCCGCCGTAGGCTGGCGTTTTTGAACCGGAATCGTAAGCTGGGGTTTTGGAGCCACTCGAAGACCACGCCGGCGTACGACTACCTGAACCGTAGGCCGTCCTGCTACCATCATAAGGGTTAACTGTTCTCGAACCGTCGGCCCATGCAGGCGTTCGTCCACCGTCTCCTCCTCTGCCCCAAGCGGGTGTTCGACCTCCAGCTCCTCCCGACGGCGTCTTCCAGGCTGGTGTTCGAGCCGACGATGTAGCAACGGGAGTGCGACTTCCGCCACTCCAATCGGGAGCTTGTCGTTCCTGGGGTCTTGCGGGCGTACCATTCGGTCCAGGACGTCTGCTCTCGTAGTTCTTGATCTCACGGCCACTAACACTATCTCTGACCATAAGATCCGTTTTGGGAACACTAATGACTTTGCTCTTTGTGTGTAACTCGACGCGGGCGTGGGTATCTGTGGTATCCTTGACCCGACCTAAGAGACCTTTCCAACCTCCTTTGCGAATGGTGACGGTCTGGCCAATCAACTTGTCCCGTCCAAATACCTGCCGGGGCGGTGGCATGTCGTTTCTTCCCGTGGGATTGAGCTTCTTGGCTGGATTCATCGCGTCCAAATCTGGCCCCGATGAAGCAGCGTTGATGCGGCCACCCTTGGCCGAGATTGTCGATACACTGCTCACACGAGAAACGAAGATACCGGCATTCTCTGTTGTTTGATGTGTATGGCAGAACACGTAGCTGCGGTGGATGTGGATAATCTTGCCTTGCCGACCCATTCCACCATACTCTTTGACCACGTCATCGGGTCGGATCTCGGAACCCGTGCGATCAGCAGCGACGGCCAGCTTTCTCTTTGGTAGCTTATTCGCGATCTGTGACGGCATAACCTGCCGGGTGTCGCCATTCTGATCCAGAACCACTAATGACTCGCGGTCTACTTTGACGATGCAGCCTACTGTAGTTGGGTCTAGCTGAACAAGATCGAGGAGAGAATATTGGCCGAGTGAGCCTTGACCTGCGATATCACTGGCTTCTCTCAAATCTTTACTGAAGACAGTGATTTCCGTATTCGTTTGGTCGGTGAGAAGGGTCACTCGATCCTCGGAAATTCTGACCACCATACCCAGTTCATCTCGGTATCTACTGCCTCCAATCACCTTGACATGATCACCAAGTTGGAAGCGTTTGCGCAGACCCTTCGTAGGCACATCAATAGTCTGCCCAACGAGCTCACCCTCTGTCACTTGCAAAGTGACAATGTCCGATTGGACTTTCGTAGCCTTGCCGATGACACCCTTCTGCTCGCCCTCATAGACTTCGACCACGTCATTGGGGAGGTACGTGGTAGTGGCATTACTATCTCTGAGACTGGCGGCAAGTGACTTGAGATCTATGTTTTCGACACCGTCTTCGCCTCCCGAGGTAAATCGCGTCACTTCTTCCAAGGTAGGGTTGACGTCGGTGACAGTTAAATGCTGGATCTTGATATCTTTGACCAGGAAGCCGCCCTCGAATTGATCGCCATTGTACGTCCAGACATTGGTCTGGGGATTGCCCGTCAGGTTGCGAGGGTTTCTCTTACGGGCTTCAACCTCACTAAAAAGCTTCTGGGGGGGTCTGGGGCCAGCGATAGGGCGCTTTCGTTTGCCATCTGCAGTGGCGCCTGAGAGCGATTCGTCTCGCATTCCGTAATCGAGT